TAAATAACCCTTGACTGTGATATATTATTAAACAAAATATTTTACAAAAGTAAATTAGCTGTAGATTGCCAGGTGAAGAGTGAGGATACATGTTATTACTATATCGTCTATTCAAAAGTAACTAGACATCCGAAGCGCATTACTCCGTACATACGTGTGATCTTTGGCGAACTCATGATTATTCTTCTGTTTCTTCTTCAAATACCAAAGTACATGTACTTACATATATATATATATATAAACATACATACATATAAATATATATGTATATATATGTATATATTTATATGTATATATATATATAAATACATATGTACCTATATATAATTCTCTCGAGTCTGGCAAATCTCTTTAAAACGCACGATTCACAATTGTGTGTATATTCCATAGCAAAAACAAAATAAGATAAATGAAATTGAAAATAGAACATGCGCGACGGTAAGGAGAGTGTATTCCTGGATCGACATAATTTTATCCGTTCGACGCTCACAAAAGGGTTGGTGTTACCGCAACGTGCCCTACACACACCCCACTAAAAGGGTTCATTCCGCATCCCTCTATCTCTCCCGAACATACACACGAAAGCGTCAGGTTGTTTTGCTTCTAAAAAAAGAAATGTTTTACGTAGGTGAAAATAGATAGGGCCGTGGTGGAGAGTCTGGAGTCTGAAGGAAAAGAAAAAAAAATATCAGCTCGAGGGAGGGGGCATGATTATCGCCAGTCTCACCATACACACACGCAATCCCCGGCGTGTTATGCTCGACACGGAAAATGACCCGGTTCGTCGTCGTGTTCAGTGTTTAGTAGCTTTTCAATACCACACGATAAAGTAGTATTTATTAGACCAGGGGTGACGAACTGGCGGCTCCTGAGTCGTACATGGCTCCTGCCTTTATCATTCCTGTTCCGCTGAATCATTGAGGGGGCGCCCTTCCCCCATGTTTGTCATATTTCTACGTTACTTTCTAGCAGTTGTCAACTGTCAAGCCGCATGTCGACCGGATTAACCTCGCCAAATGGGATTTGATTCTTAACAGCCCATGCAGCTTTGATAGCTGTATACTAGGTCACGCAGATTAACCCTCACAGAGTATCCCGTTCCCAAATGTTTCGTGATCTCGTGTTTGCATTACTCTGCACTAATCATTGGCTAAGATACAGGTGACCAGTCAGCCTACCAATGGAAGAACCACCCGGCGGATGGATTAGAAGGACGCGAGTGGCTACAGGCTTTGAAAAAGTTCGTCACCCCTGCATTACACTATGCTGGACTGAGGTATCGAGAGGCAAGATGGTCGTTTAACTCTAGGCAATGGCGTAAGGTTACAAGTGAGAGCTATGTGGCTGCTGTTCGTAAAACAGTACGTAGGCTTCGCTGGTGACGACTGATCGCGCTGGAACCACGGACACCCGGCTGTCGTTGTACTCGTGCCATTCGCCCGAATACGGATGTTTGCAGTATGCGGTGTAGTGACCAGAATACGTAGTGCCCGAGTGATTGGCGACACCATACAAATTGTAGGTGCAGCCCGAAACCCTGGGGGCGGCGAAGGCACTGAGATCTAATCCCGTCAATGGAAAGTCCACCGTTACGTTAAGCTTGCCGCGGAATCGTTCCATGGGGGAGAAACGTTTTAAATCTGCAAAATGCTGTTAAGGAAAGTGTACTCTATTGTTTGGCGAATGTAACGCGCGCGCCTTTGTAAAAAAGATTATTCAGAAACCCGGAGGTTCAACAGTTGTGTTAACGAAGGAAATATTGTATTTTCTTTTGAAACGCTCTTAAAGATTATCTTTCCAAAAAACACGGCGTGAACCTGGAAAACCAAATAAGGATCGCATAAAAGTTGTTTCCCATTAAAAAGGATACGAATAACAAGGATCTTCGGGAATTTGTGTATACTGAAGCTTTTGGTACACTTTCTCCTCATCTGACACTTGGAACAGGTCGGCTTCTCGTCACCGTCAAGGACCTCTTCCCGGGTGAAATGTTCCAGACACTGACTCAACTTGATTGTACCACTCCTGGCCGGTATCGGTAGGCTCAGGTCCCAGAAAGGATCCAGCGTTACGGATACATGGTCGCAGGCAGTGCAATGCAGCGACGAACGTAATTGACCTACGAACACGTCCACTACCATACTGTCTTCGCTGCGCAGGTAACGTTTCCAGCTCTCTACAGCTTTCTGGCTGTCCCTGTGCAAAAGACAATCGTTGCAAAACATCATCAAAATATTCATGAGAATATTTTACAGTTTATCACAATTATATATTATTACTATTGAATATATTTAACAATCAGTTAGTAGTTCCTTACGTATACATATCAGGGATATCGGTGTGTATCGGCGGCGGCTTCACCGTCACTCTGTTGACGTCCTCGTGCAGTCCTTCGAGCAGATATCTCAGAAACTCTTGCGCGTCCTGTTGACTGTAGCCCATGAACCGCGGCGCGAATCTTTGTATCTGTGACTTCAGCGCTGTAGTGTTCACCACGTGATCACCACCCACCTCCCACAATTCGTGTATCACCTGACTGAAGGCCTTGATCAGGGCACCTTTCATGCTGGATGTGGTCACGTTGATGTCCGCCAAGTACTGCTCGTTCAGCAGATATTCGAGCAACGGTCTCGTGTTGCTCAAGCATTGGATCACACTGTTCATGAAACACTGAAAGGAAAAAATAATATAATTGAGGAACACCATTCATAGATGCAGCATAACTGTATATGGAGATAATGATAAAGATAGTAAACTAACTCATTTCAAGAATAAAATTAACGCTATCAACCGTCATAATTAAAATTTTCTGAACTGATTTACAATGAAACGATTACTATCCTAAAATATCACGAGTATAAAACAGAATACTCACTGTGTTTCCAATATTCCGCAAACCGTTTAGACCACATCGTTCGTCGCGATGCGTTTGAAGCCGATTACGTGCCGCCTTGTTTGTCGGGCTTCCGTCCTGCAATACAATTCACGGTCAGCTAATGTGCTATGCGCCCTTGCGAGTGTATAGTAAAACATTTCTACGGGGCTGGAAACTGTCAGATTGTCGCATTTCTTTGGTAAAAGCACGACAAGTTATATTCTTAAGCGCTAAGGTTGCCTAGCTTGCTGGAGGACAACGCATATCACACTTCTTGCAATAAAACAGAACACTCTGTGGAGACGACCATGGATAATACAAGCGCCGGATTAACGCCACTGGTGAGATAGGCTGTTGAGCTTGATGCGGACCAACGAGTTTTATATACAGTTACTTATTTGTAACACAATATAGAATATCCTCTATACAAAATGAAATGTCTAGATATTCTGTACTAATTCTCGAATGTTTTGGTAGATCTGGAGCAAATTCTCTAGAACTTTGAAGGAAATGCAAGATACTATGCAATCTGGACATTATCTCTGTGACATATCAAGGTAAATTAACATTAATAAATTGTTGCTCTACATACAGACGATGCAGTGAATATCTCTTCATGTCCCCGTCATGTTCCCTATTTCAGATGAAACAACTCAAAATACGATACGGCTCAAAATATTGTCATAAAATCTTTCAAGTAACGCTATATCTTTGAACCCAGAAGAACATAGCAAAAGCTATTTAGTTCAACCTTAATCCTATTTTACAACTGCTGATCCACAACGTGCCCCGGAGAGTTAGTTCGTTTTATCCGATCGCACAGACGAATTCGCTGTTAGTCAGTGTTACAGACCGGTTCAGGCGCACTTCAAACACTCGTCCACGCACGCGTGCACATACACACACATACACACGCGGGCCCGCGTGCGTACACGGAGTACGTACATTTCTCGTTGCGTTCGACCTCAGCGTGTGGATAGTTCCGAACAGAAAGTACGCCCAACACAATATATTCAGAAAAGGGACTACAGTGTAAATATCAAAGGCGTCGAGCAGCCGAGAGAGGGAGACTGCACACAACGTGGACGTCATCGCTACGAGCGTGGCGCGCGCCCCTCTCCGTTACAGCCACGCAAATCCCTCCGCTAGCACTCACCTTCGCCCGACTGACGGCTGGAAGCTGTAGAGCAGCGCGCGCGGACACAACGGGACCGCGGAACCGCGTGGAAGCGATACCAGACGGAATGGGATGCCTCCGGGCCGCCAAAGGCGCCGCGACGCCCAGCGCGAACGCGTACACGAGGAGCAGGGCGATCGCTAGCCACACGCACCACAACCCCCAGCACACGACTTGAATGGAAACCAGTTTACACGATGTGACCGTTGGAAAACGTTGCAGAAGGTGTTCGCTCATTAATTACGAGCCACTCGACTGTCGTTGAGACTATTGGCCGTTAGAGTACTCAGCCGAACGACCGGGGTAGACATGTCTGGCTGAGCAGACGCGAAGATGAGGAGGGCGGTCTCGAGGATTCTAGAGCTGTGCTTACTGGCTAACCAGTGTCAATGCTTTTAGAGAGGAGCTGTTAGCAGAAGAGAATATTATCTGGCAGAAGGAGATAGAAACGTTGTGGCTATGTTAAACGACTTTGATCATAATCTTGACGAAGATAGGCGATGACTACACCGCGTTCCTATACATTCATAGCCTATACAGTAATTTGAAGTAGATCACTATAGCAGAGGGTTTAAAAAAAATTCGTTTAGATGTTCATGTCTAATGACCATTGTCCTAGAAAAGTTACTTCTTGCGCGAATGCTAGTCTTTGCCTGAGTATTGATCACACGAAGTACATAACTCGAATAACAATAGAGGAACGGGCAAATATATTTGCGAATATTTCATAGAGGTATTATGAGGTTGAACCCCTACCCCTCAAAATATCCACTTTACTCTGCCAGAAAATGTATCCGTTTCGTCTCACGAACTCCTCCCAAAAATCGTGTTCTCTGGGTTACCAGACTACACAGTGGGAAGCGATTCCCCTACCCCAAGCAAGAAGCAACAGGACACGTTAACGAACTGGCACACGCACGACACCTAACCTCCACGGCCAGTCGGAGGAAGGCTACACCGGCGCTAAAAGACGACCGCAATCGCTGGACTAAAAACGGTGACGTGACGTGCGTACACGTTCCAGCGTGAACCCAGGACACACAACGACAGACGGTCTATGCACAGTTCCAGCGCGAGCCCGTGACACACAACGAAAGACGGCTTGTGCGCACGGTGTGTGGTAACGCGCCCGCGCGCATATACACACACGTGTGCGCGCGCGCCGCTACCACGAGGTACCGTTATGTTATGAGAGGTCCGCTCGTGCCGCGTCTCTCGCTCCCCCGGTGGGAGAGAGCTCTGGTCTATTTATAAAGGTAGGTAGCGACTGACCGTCGTGCGAGACTTAGTCGAAGAAAACGTTTGGGAGACAAAATCGCGCACACGGGAGCTCACCGCTGTATTTCGCAATGAATCGAACGCCAGCGCACATATACAAACCGAACTGAAATGAACACTGTTCGACACGTTTTTTTGCGAGCCTACTTCTTTTTGTACCTCGAGATTTCGTCTCGTGCCACTGAACTTTTTCGCGAAACCGAAAACGAGACAGGAACTATAAGAGATCACGACGGCGACACGGGTGTATAGATAACGATCTCGTTTCGACGCCGCATGCTTTTTTGGCTCTGCCCCGAGCGCTACGCAGCTGCTGCATAGCTGAAGACGTCGGGCTAGGTTTGCGCGCGCGACGGATATATTTGGTACGAATTAAAGACGCTTGGAAGCGACGGTTTTCTTTTCTCGGCCGTTTAACCTGTGCGCCACCAAGGTCTTGGACAAACGGATGATCGAAATTACATTAGCGCAGAGGACTGTGTACAATTTAAATTGCATCAAACAATCGAGGTATTCAGTTAAGGACGGACGCGTGCTATTTCTATATGCAATGACTCGCGCACTTGTTCGCGAAAAGGTGTTATATTTATTGATCATGATTATGCTTGCAAAATTTCCAATGCCGCACTGGGATCAAGAAAGATTGCAAGAGAATGCGAGCGGAACAGATAATCAGGATAAATAAATATAGACCGCATCATTAATCGTTAGAAGTAATCGTTGTGCGATGATTCATGCGAACGAATACGCAAGTCACTGTAAATACTTCGTTCTAACACGCGTGACCTTGCTCTGAACATGAATCCATTGATGTTGAAAAAGAACGAATAAGAACATTGCTACCCTTTGGACCATTTTTATCCAGCGGATAGAGCAAAAATGAACGAAGACAAAGAACCAAGAAGCATCCATTCTCAATTCACTCGTTTCAGGGTAATCCTTTGGACGAGAAGAAGCTACAAGCGTTGTTGGGCGGGTTGCCGATTGTCCGGCGCAGAAGACACCAAGAAACGGACGCAGTCGGTTGAAATTCGATAGCCCTGCTCCTGTTTTCGTACGCCTACTCATCCTGCCTACACGCGTGTGTATCAAAATTCCCTGACAATAAATTCGCATCGCGGTTATGACACTCACAAACTGATCGGCCACGCCGCGATAGAGGCTCTGGTGGGCCGTGGACGGCGCCGTGGGAGATGAGGTCAGATTACTGGCAGTGTTCGTGTTCCCTGAGAAATGACCGTCCGATCTCCTCGAGGTGGAAGGCACGGATGGGTCGTCCCCATAGGTACCGGATGGCCGTCCGGCCACATCGTTTTGCGCAACAGGCGGCGGCGTGGCACCGCCGCCAAACCTGGTGTGATCAATATCGTACGACGCGGAGAATGCGTTCCACGGCTCCTCGTCGCCCCCAAAGAGCTCCGCGATCACGTCTTGTACCTCGCGTTTTACCTCCTTCTTCTCCTCGACGAACTCGAAGATCTCGACGGACTCAGCGGTGGCGTTGTCACGCAGCCCAAGCTTCTCCTGGCCATTGTTATTGATCAGCAGTTCCGTGTTATTCGGATTAGTGGCAAGGTTAGTGAGCACGTCGAGCTGAACACCGATCAAACCGGCACCGCCAACACCACCGGGCACAGACGACGACAAGAGGTTACGCTTAGGTGAGACCTCGTCGGTTCGATGAGGAACGCCGCGTTGTTGGTGGTGATGGCGGTTGTTCAGGTTGTTGTCGTCGTCTTGGTCGTCATCGTTATCGTCTTGGTCGTTGTTGTTCACCCCGTATCCGCCGCATGCGTCCTCGGCGCTGCTGCTACTGTGCCCATTGCTGTTGTTGTTGTGCTGATCGTCGTCGGTGTTATTGTCATCGTTCTCGTTCTCGTCCTCGTCGTCTTCGTCGTCGTCGTCCTCGTCATCGTCGGCGTCGTCGTTAGCGTCCTCGTCTAAGTCGCGGATGGTGCCGCGTTCGTCGATCGTTACCTCGCCAGGCGACGTGGCGGCATTCTCCGCGCGAGCATGCCCGCTGGTTAGCACCGTGCTGCTGGCCAGTGGCCCCCCTCTCTTCGACCTGGACCAGAGTGCTACACCGCTAGCAGCAGCAGCAGCAGCAGCCGCGGAGGATGACGAGGAGGACGAGGAGAGCGAGGATTCGGGCCGAAGGTCCCTGGTCCGTTCGACTATCTCGCGTTCGTCGCCGCCGAACAACTCGGTCAACGAGGAACCGGTCGCGTGATGCTTCCAATGATGATGACTCGACGAGCTGTTAACACCTCCAGAGGAGATGCTGGTTTGTCGGATGTTCGGTATGTAACCGGACGGCGAGTATCTGCTGATTATGTCCGCTGTGGTGGGCGACGAGGACTCGAGCTGCCTGGAGGTGTCCTGCGCTGATGTTCTATCCCTCGACGAGGATCCGGTGATCGAGATGCTGGAGGACGACGAGGACGTGGATAAACCGTATCTACCGCTGCCGCCAGTGCCGTTCGCTGTCACATTTGTACCCGCGCTGCCGCTGCTACCGCTGCTGGTACCCGTGTTGCTGTACGCCGACGATGAAACTGACCTGCAAACGTTTGTCCGATGTGAATATCGCGAGCATCAGTTTCATTCGGCTGGGCCCGCGGCCAAGGGCTACCCTCTTCCCTCCCTGAACCCTCCTCTACTCTCCGCCGCCCTCCTACTCTCTTTTCAGGTTATGCAACGATTGCGAGCATACACGCAACCCGCTCGCATTATAAACACACGCACGCGCAAAACTCGTGTAACCAGCTAAGGATGAGTAAGCAGCGCCATCTGGAGGTGTTAGTGACATGTATCGCCGTGTGAACCCGCGGGAGGCGTTTCTTTAACGATTTCTTTCGATGACGGGGAGACGACAATTTGGATGAACACCAAACCGGTTTCGTGGAAATGCTTCTGCGGGACTTTCAATTTCTTCATCGGTAATGATATAAATATACGAGTTCGTATAGTTCCCATCGTAGCAGGCTCTTGCAACGTCTGTGAAGCGAGTGAACTAGGAACGGTTCCGAATTTAGGTTCATAAAAAACAGAAACTCGTTCAGATTCGATCCCGTTAAAAAAAGCCTCGAGTGGCCCTGGCCCAACTTATTCGCAGGGTACAGATGTGAACAACAGTTCAAATTGTTTCAACGGACAGATCTCGTTTTTTGTTCTTGAGTTAACTGGGACACGCCTTGATTGATGGAAAAATGAAAAAAACAAGATAGGTATATATAAAAGAAAAATAGGGTACAGAGTCAATTCAATGTATGTAGATATCATCGGATAGAGATCTGCCTGGCCGGCAATTGATTGGAAAGTCAAAGAAGCGTTGCGAGATACTTTTCACGTGGTCAGGTCGGTGTCGCTGGTCTACATGCCAGCGAGAACGATCTTGTTCAAGATTTGGAGGTTACTGAATCGGACGCGCGACACAGTTCGCACGCACACGGCATGTTTGGAAACGGTGCTGCCGGCTACTCGCCGCGTTCGCCACCATTTTCTCTATTTAAGATCGATCCGCCATTTTGGAATCACATGTGCAGGGGTAATGAACGCATCAGGCAATGCTGGCATCTGAGAGACACGATTACGACATACTTCCAAGAAAAAGTCATCTCTGGTTTTCTTCTCAGGTCTGAGTGAACCTGGCGCGACTAGTTTCCAGGTCACCACACCTGATGCATAGCCGCTCTTGACCTCGACCTTTCAGGGTATAGGGCGGTATGTAAGCTACAGAGACGGTTCGCGCCGGTTGTAGCCGGATCCGGTTAATTTGTTCACAGGTGTGTTCATTGGGCCAACGTATTATACCCATTTTCTAGCGAGGAGGCCACGTCGGGGAACTCTAGTCGAGGGACGCGAATGCCACGAGGCTAACAGGCAACTAGGGCACACGTTATCTGAAGTGTCAGGTGCTCTACACGAATTAGCGAAGCGTCATGGGACTGTTATTAGTCATTCACTGGCCACGGTATTTAGGGACTGAAAAGAGAGAGATGTGAAAACAAACTGTCGACACTTATCGGGGCGTTGATTCTCGTAGCCGCCGAGCCCGCTACGGCTGTACTAACACACCCCCGTGTACCAGGGATTGCTCTCACCTTGCGGGTGAGTAACGAGACCGGCCGTAGTCCGACAAGTAGTTCCTGCGGATGCTCGAACCCGTCGACGTTAACGAGTAGTAACTGTAGGGCCGATCGAGTATGAGCTATTTTAACATTGCATGTTCGCATAGTTGAACGGAGAAGCCTCCGGGATCGGCAGCGCGCGCGCGCGCGCACGCGCTGACCATTCTCTCTCTCGGACTCCCCCTGGTCCACTCTCAACGTCCTGACACTATCCAAGGCTCCCGTTTACATCAACGACAGTGATCATTCTGAAAACTCGTCTGACAAGATAACTAACTAACTATTATAATCGTGGCTGCCGATCCCAGGGATTTCCCCACTAGAATTCAGCAGGATTCCAGTAGAGCGATGACGAGAGGACTCACCTGCTCGACGGACAGTAAGATGATCGCCTGTACTCGGATGTGTAGCTCGAACGGTATCCGGAGCCGGTGGACGACGTGTAAAAGGAGCCGGTGGGTCGGTAGGTGTTCAGCTTGCTGGTGGAGCTACCGATCGCGGAGCTACTGGTGCTGCTGCTACCGCTGGAACATCGCCTGCTAGGAGAATGCGGTGTCATTGGGCTGCTGCTGTACGAGACTGCTACGGCGCCCGCCTGGCCCCCACGGTGATATGACATTGCACCCTGGGCTCACCAGTCTCTCAATCTCTCTCTCACTCTCTCTCTCTCCTCCCTTTGTCTCTATCTTCCCTTAGAGACTTGCCTGAATCCCAACAATTTCGGAGAGAACGGTGAGTATACACATCGTATCGATGAGAAGCTGACGGCGCACGAATTTTTTTATCTTATCTTTAACAACCCTTGAGCGTTGACCATTTTCGCAGGTACCATTATTAGATTTCACCCGCGAAACAGGCCAACGGATAACGTAAACGGTTACCGTCGATAGAACAAACGTGCCAACTTTCATAGAAAACTGACGAGCTACTACTACTTAAAGGTTCCGGAGACTGCAAAGATAATGGAAAAGGAAGAAGAGAAAGCAAGAAAGATAAAACCAGACGCTTCGACTTGGGTCTGTTAAGTGGACCATTTATCAGTAAGGCTGTCTAGCAGACTTTGCTTCACGTACGAGGACGTTAAACGAATGATTGAGGACGGTATATAAAGGAATAGGTAAATGATCAAGCAGAAGCAAGAAAGGTATCTCTTTACAACCTTCTGGTAGCGAGTGCAAGAGGTGTCATCAAAGTTCCAGATGTTCTCGTAATTTAACCCCGTATTTGTTCCATCGACGGTACGAAGTTTCTACCCTGAAATTAATAACTGTTTATGTTTTACGTGGCCACGGCTAGTTAAAACATGACGACGAAGAATCTAATTCCCCGACATTGTTCTAGGGTTGAAAACCTTCGACGAGTTTGCTCGAAGAAGTTCCTAGATGTGCGGTCGGTTAGTATAGCATAAGTCAGTCCATTTCATTATATTCAAAGAAAGAGAATAATTACAAAGTTGATGAAAGTCAGCGGACAGGGTTCAAGTTTCATTAGAAAATCCTGTCTGTCAGAGTTCAGCGAGGTCCTAAAGGGGATTCACCGGTTTCGTAAGAACGCATTTGGTTGTTCCTCTGATTAGTACACGTTGTTCGTAGAGAAACACGGTAGGTAACCGGTTCGATCGATAACCCTACCCGTTTTCGGCGGGTCCCGGAGAGGAACAAGAGAAAGCAAACACGCGGGCATCGGCCGAAGCTCCGCTCGCCGCGTTCCAGCTTTAGTTCCCGAGGCCAACCTACCGCGACTAGGCCGCACCACTTCACCTTGTCCCCTTTTCTCGCTGAAAATCTAGTCGCGGATAATTCCTAGCCCCGACCGACTCTGCGAGTGTCTTTGCTGCAGCTGCGTTACAATTACCGTTTGAGCGTCGCGGGTCGCGCAAAAGCTCTAGATAGGAAAAGGGAACTCAAGTTCCTGTCAGGGGTGGTTCGTGCATTGGCACTGCGGAACTACATCCCCACTTGCTTTCAATAGATAAACAATATTTTTTCATGTTTACTTTCGATTTGTATTTTTGCCGTGGTTGACATTTTGTCCGAATACGTGTACACCGTATTTACAGTGAAGGCATGTTTTGAATTTTATAGTATCCCCATAAGTTTAAGCTGAGGGCTGCCACTGTTTCTAATCTAGTGAAATGTTTGTGAAACGAAGGGAGAAGTGACGATTTTCAACAGAATCTCGTGGATATCGATCTCTGTGCTGCGTGCCTGGTTACTTCAGCAGGATTAACCGAAAAACAACGGAAGGAAGTGAGTTGGTCCCAGCGCTACCCCGACGAGACCACCACCGCATCCGATTCTCGCAGGAACGTGAACACAAAACAAGAAATGCCAAAGGTCACTGGGTCGAGCTAAAAAAAGAAACGGGCCAACCTTGAGCCGGGAAAAATGTAGAACGTTCGGGAGCCACACGGCAGCCGGGTATCCTATAGCATCGGCAACCATGACTTTTAACCGTCGCGCTGACTAAGGTAGTCTAATCGCGTTTACGTGAAGAGAATCGCATATCTTAAGCCGTAAGCGTTTCTACCTGATTTAACCCCTCGTCTTGCGATATCGCGTTAGTCTCGTGGCGAAGATTCCGGAAAAATATAGGAAATCTAATTATTCATTCAAATATCGTTTTTCTGTAGCTAATTGCCAATATTTAAGTATACGTAGACGTAGTTGAAAGAATAGGATAATTACTTTTTTTAATGGATTATTAACGCAAACTGGTTCTAACCAGTGCAGTTGCAAAAATCTCGATCTGTACCAATTAGACATTCGAATCGCAATCGTGGGGCAGTACAATCGTTACGATTTTTCAGGATACAAACGATTTTAGTTTCTAATTTGTATTGTACTTAAGAAAAACAGGGTTCACATACGTGACTGTTGAACTTCCAGTATCAAACTGAAATGGAATACACGTGTACACACGCGTGACGAATCAGTTGGCAGCGTAATTTATTTAAATTGATTCGGTGAACCTCAGCAGATATTTCCAGAGGAATATCACAAGAAAGAGAGCCACGCTGGGGTCTAATTTTATCTAACTGGTTAATTGAAGACAACCCGGCAGTATAGATGGCTATTTAAATACGTATTAGGGTCAGTGGACACAAAATATTTTATTGAGATAACGTAATCGTGCAACCCTTAGTGATTGTTACACGCGAATTAAAGGGGAAGTGGGAAAGAGAGAGGCATACAGGGAGGGGAGGGGAGAAGTTGGAGAAAGAGAAAGAGAGAGAATAAAAAACGGCAAGATATCCGTAGTTCTAAATTTAGCGCAATTACTACAGTTGACACTATCAGACGACGCCTCTTGCGTAACAGTGCGAATTCAATTTGACATTGCCGTTCCTAGACACAATTAACTCCATTCATGAGCCAACGGTACGTTAAAGTGAAAGCGTATGAAATTTCATACGGTTCCAACTTTAACGGTCGCGAATCCGACCAGGCGGAAAAATGGAATGTTTTTCACGAGACAATAAGATTTTCTAAAACCCGGTACAATGAACGCGAAAATGAGTCATTTATTTTTT